TTAATTGCAGCTTTTACTAAACTGTAAGTTCTATTCTCTCACCTTTTCCACTGGTACACCTAACACTTGCTGCAACACAAAGGAGACTGACTTCTAATCTTTAGTCCATATCACTCTCTTCCCACATATCATGCTGAATTATATAAATTACCCCCTTTACATTTTCTATTTCAGAAAATGTAAATCCCAAATGAATAAATATTGATGCTGTTCTCCTTCAGAATTTAATACAACCTAATATGTGACACAACCTTGGTTTTACAGATCATGGTGGAAAGGGTCACTGTAGTTTAGAATAGCAACACTAGGAATGGTCACAGGATGTTCTATTTCTCCCTATAAGCACTAGAAGGAAGTTACTTAACAAGAAGGAAGTTGCCTGCTCACGTCTCTTGGCAGTTGATTGGCACTGGCATCTTAAAAAAGGTGCAAAGTTCTAATAAAGTTTGTCCTGCAATCAGGACAGATAATCTCTCCAAATTAAGTTTAAAAGCATGAGCTGTGTTTCTTCAGAGTGGGCACTACGCTGTCCTCTCTGGGCAAGTAGCCTCTTTGCAGTGATTTCATATTTTATTCACTTAGAAATTGGACAAGGAGGTGTCACATGAACAGTCACAGGCCAGGTTGATGGAAGAAAAATACAGCATTCAATTCAATCTTGAAATTTTATATTCTGCTTATTGGCAGCACAAGTAAGTAACAATATCTCTCTCTTATCCAATTTCTTGTAGTGGCTGGTACCTGGCACCAACACTGTCCTCTTGGCTCTGTGGCTGTGAGCAGTGGCAATGGAAGATCCTGACAGGAAGACTGAAGTGGTGCTGCTGGCCTGTGGGTCCTTCAATCCCATCACCAACATGCACCTGAGGCTGTTTGAGCTGGCTAAAGACTACTTCCATGAAACAGGTAGGATGGTAATTTATATCATTCAGAATAGATTTGTGACTGTGACAGATATTTAGCAAATGCTAATTAGATATTGAAGCTGATATGTGTTTATGTCTTATACAAAACCATGTAGGCCATTATGAGAGAACTCATTTATGTGTTGCTTATTACTGATTTTAATGAGCTAAAACACAGAGTTTATAGTTAATAGAAATATATCTTTCTAATACATCTTACTTAGTGCTCCATTGTGCTGCCCTGACAGTGCAGGAGTGTCCTGTATTTTTCCACAGGGCTGGCTATCAGCTGCCATTGCACTGCATAATGGTTATGTCACAGGTTAAATACAATGCAGGGGAAATAACATCTGCTCAACCACTTCTCATGTTCTTGTGTGCTATGTTTTTTCCCACAGGAAAATACAAAGTAATCAAAGGCATAATTTCACCAGTGGGTGATGCATATAAGAAGAAAGGTCTGATCAGTGCAAATCACCGAGTGACTATGGCAAAACTGGCTACAAAAAACTCAGATTGGGTGGAAGTTGATGATTGGGAAAGCTGCCAGAGCGAGTGGCTGGAAACACTCAAGGTTTTAAGGTATTCTTCAGCCAAAGTCTAAAAAGTCTCATGAACCTATAGAAGGATTAAGGATGGTGTTAACTCTAACAAGTTGGGATAATTGCAGAGAGAGGTTCTTTGGTAGGCCATACTATCCAAATTTTTCCCTACATCTTTAAAATACCTAAAATACATCTGTTTTGCAGGTATCATCATCAAAAGCTTTTATCCGCTGATGTCACTAATAGTCTGCAGCATGTGCCCATAACAAAGCTGGGACGAAAGAGAAAACAGGAACCAAACAGGCATGAGCCCGTTAAAAAGAAAAATCAGAGTCCAGTTGTAAAAAGTTAAGTCTGTTTGCAAATTAGATGGTTAATGATCCATGTTATTTCAAGAGAATTGCACCGATGAGTAACTTTTATGGTAGCTCTTGGTTCTGATGTCATTCAGTAACTTTATTCCCTTAGATTCCACAGCATAAGGCATTAAATCCCTTTAAAGAAGGTACTCCCATAACCTTTATTCAGAAAAATCCTGTGTTATGGCTACTAATTATAAATTAGATACTCTGAATCTTTTTTTTAAATTTCATTCCATTCTCTCATCTTAACCAAAGATACAGAAAGAGAGAGGGAGCCAAGAAATTAAATGTCCCTGTCAAGTTTGCTGAAATCTGCCAAGCCCCAAATGAAGCCCTATTTCTCATTTAATTTTCTCTTCAAGGTGTCCCACAGGTTAAACTGCTTTGTGGAAGTGACATGTTGGAATCTTTTGGAGTCCCCAATCTGTGGAAGTTGGAGGACATCACTGAAATTGTGGAAAAACACGGCCTTGTGTGTATCAGTAGGGCTGGAAACAACGTTCAGAAATTCATCTACGAATCGGATATTTTGTGGAGACACAAGAATAACATTCACCTTGTGGAAGAATGGATCACAAATGATATTTCCTCCACCAAGATCCGGAGAGCCCTGCGGAGGGGCCAGAGCATTCGTTACCTGGTGCCTGACGTGGTGCGGGCGTACATCGAGAAGAACAGGCTGTACAGTCCCGAGAGCGAGGACAGGAATGCGGGGGTGGTCCTGGCTCCCTTCCAGAAACATGCCAGTGACCCTAAGAGCTCACAGGCGCTGAGCAACTGACTTACTGTCTGCTGTGAAAAAAAACACATTTCACTACAGGAAAGTGTGTTTTCTAGGGGCTGCTTGGGGGTTTTTCTTAGGTAAATAGTGGCCTAATACTGTACACCTATAGTTAGTAATGATGTTTGCTGGACTCGGTGATGGGACCTGCATAACTTTTTTCAAGTGCAGTAGTAAGATTTTTCACTTTTTAATGCTTTGTCCCAGTGCACTGAAGTGAGTATAAGAATTCAAATTGGTACGTGAAAATTGCAAATGTGTAAGCAAAACAAATGAAAATGTTCTCATTAGTTTTAAGTCAAACTGCTCTGCTATTTATAAAACAATAACACAAATATTTTAAATAACTTACAGTGTCTTAACAAAGTTACCTGATTTCAAGATGTACCATTTACTTAGAGTGAATCTATGTAATTTTTTTTTTTGTCAACATGTGGTTTACCTCAAAAAAATTATTTATCTCTATCCTAGAAGGGAAGAATTTCCTCCTGGCTGAAGTGGTGCTAGGTATAGCATGCTTTGAGCTGCTTGCCTTTGAGATATGCAGCTGCTTGTTTGCTGTCATGCAGTGTGCTTCCAGAAATGTCTTGTACTTTACTTTTCCATTCATATTTCCAGAGCTATAATGTTAAGCTCAGTATTGTTTCTGATGGAAGGACAAACCTACCTCAGGAACTGGTTTAAAGCAATTGATTTAATAGATAGAAATTAATAATAGTGTCATTGCACTGATTTTCAGACACTTGTCCCTTTATTACAAATAATACATTTCTTTCAAAAAATAAAGTTTATTTTACTTTTGAGCCATAAGTAGAATATAATTATATATAGCCAGAATTGTTTTCTGTTACTAGTGAGAAAGTGGTAGGATATCAATACTGATCATAAGTGAAATATTTTTCTTTTCTAGAAATCTGGTTTTGAATCTAACAGTGTATTGTCTATATTATGTGAACCTAAGCTAGAGAGGTACTGTGACTGTTGTGGTGATAGAATTCTACCTCCTTTTATTTGATGCTATCTCATTTTTGTTTGTGTTATGTGCCTTATTAAGAATGCCAAGATTTGCAAGCCACTTCTCATGAATCAACAACTTTTTAGAGGTCTTTGTGTGAGGTTTGAGTACTGATTTACAGAAAGAAGGGCCACATGCCAGACTATCTGCATAATTTAAATTAAAATGTTATATCCCGACTTTGGCACAGGATTTACCTAGTGCTGACTTCTCTTTGCTTGCAAGAGTCAGTAGTATTGCAACAGTGCTTTACTACCATAACCTCAGAACACCAAATTGTGGGTGAAATGTTACTATTTGAGTGGAGAGGAAACAGTAATTTTCATTTCTCAGTGCCGTTCTTGTTTTAGTGTAGGTTAGAGAACAATATCCAGCTGCATACAGGAAAGAAGCTTTGACGTCCTGAGTTCCTACTCACATGATTCTGTGAGTCATATGGATCAAACTGCCAGCTCCAAAAATGGAGCTAAACTATGGGGAAACTTCTTTGCAAAATATTATCCTTCTTATGCAGCCTAACACAAGTCAGTAAATAAATAAATGTAGTAGTATAGGTGTGTGTCCTCACCTCTAAATCCCTTATTTCCTCACTTCAGATTCCCTGAGTCCTTTCTCTTCAAAGTCAAGCATTTTTTATTCACTTTTTCAAAACAAATTGCTGGGTCCTCAGGGACTTCTCTCACTTTGCTGAAGGTGAAGTCCAACACAAGCTTACCTGCTGTGTCATGTGCTCTGCTGCCTGTGTGTTGTGCCACATGTGTAGCATCTAATAAAGCATCAGTGGGAACAGCTCCTTTATCAGCTCTTCTTTATGTGTCAAGAACAGAAAGCCAAGGCAGGAGCTACATGTCCTATATACACAAGATCACTTTTTGAATTCTGTTTACTACTCACTCCAGACATAAACCAACATGATATAATTCTTATCTCTGTGCCATAGGTATTGCTTTAAAATTTGTTGATATAATACAATCCACAGTTTAACAGTCCATCCATGTCTGTTCAAGTACAGCCTGTCTTCACAGGGGTACATCACCTTTTTGACAGATACCTGGATTTCAGATCTTAAAGCTCAGATCTAATAAACTTGCAGGAAATCTTAGTAATGACAGAATCAGTTCCTTTAAAGTATACAAGATGGGGAAAATGGTTTAAACCACTTTTTTGCTTGCATTGTGGCTCTTGGGCTGTTGACATTTGCTCCACACGAAGATTTCAGACACGATGAACTTTTCCCTCCAACACAGCTGGAGCCATTCTACAGATACCCTCTCACCCACTGGCTCAGCAGTAGCACCCTTCCCCTCCAGCAGAAAGGTCCTGTGATGTAATCCCACCCACAGGCTGCCCTATAAAAGACCTGACTAGAAAATTACATTTGCATTTTTGACTGGATCTTCCTTCTACTGTCTGGCAATGCCTGTGGATTTCAGCGGAACCTGGAACCTTGTCAGCAATGACAACTTTGAAGGTTATATGGTGGCCTTAGGTAGGTGAAATTACCTGTTTCTGTCCTTCCTCCCTTCTCCTTTAGGGGTCTTCTTGAATTTTAAGGACTGCCCTTCATTTCATCCTATTTAAGGTATAGAATGCCTTAAAGAGAGTTGTTGATTCTTTCACTGCCTTTCCCTGACAGAGGATGAGAATAAGACACTCACCTCTTGCTAAGTGGGGGTAAAATATGAAACCAAGTTTGGGTGTCTCTGTGGGGGAAGCCAACTGTCTCCAGGAGTCTTCTGGCTGAAAGTCCTGAAAATGTCGCATAGGAATTGTGCAACAACTGAGTACACTGGTTTAAAGAGGACAACTTACTCTTTGTAATATGCAGCTTTAAACAAAGCAAAAGGTTCCAATAAAACAACAAAATGCTGCATAACAGTAAAGTCAAACTACTGTAAGAAATGCTTCTGGTAGTAATAAAGGTTAATTCCAGGCTGCCAGAATTGCTGGTGATAAATACAACTCTGATGTTTCTGCCTTCTGTCCAAGGTATTGACTTTGCAACACGCAAAGTAGCAAAAATGCTGAAGCCTCAGAAAGTGATCAAACAAGACGGTGATTCATTCTATATCCATACCACTAGCACATTCAGAGATTATTTGCTTGAATTCAAAGTTGGAGAAGAGTTTGACGAAGATACTAAAGGCTTGGATAACAGAAAATGCAAGGTAAGAGGGAATATATGAGGCTGTGAGAAAATTAAGATGCCGTGATCAATCCAGATAATTGAGCTGAAAGTTTTTCAATAATATTTGTGGTGCAAGACAGCACTAGGAGCCTGAGTTACAGACAAGGAGTGTCACTTTCACTCGGGCAATATCCAGGTCCTCTTTGATCCAGGAAAATACACATTTTCTGCAAATATCTTGCAGAACTGAGACAGACATGCAGAAACGCCTTTTTGTTTCCTGTTCTATAGAGCCTCGTTACCTGGGAAAATGACAAACTTGTCTGTGTCCAGACTGGTGAGAAGAAGAACAGGGGCTGGACTCACTGGCTTGAAGGGGATGACCTCCACCTGGTATTGACTTCAGATTTCTACTAATTCTATCTCCATATGGTGAAAATTTGATTTATAATGTGGCCATGGTGTGCATATGCCTTCTAGCTGTGTAGGATGTGTAATGGATGGTACACTGTGAGCACATTCTGCTTTGAAACAGCTTCATTGTTTCACTGTCACATGAAGTTAGATTAGAATGTTAAGTGTAAGTTATTAGCATGGCCAGAACGGAGGCAAATGATCTATGTTCAGTTTTGGAAGCAGTTCCTTTGATTGCTATAGATATCGATACTCTTGGGTTTTCTGTTTATTTGTTTTTGGTTTTTTTTTGTTTGTTTGTTTGTTTGTTTGGTAGGAGCTTCGTTGTGAGAATCAAGTCTGTAGACAGGTCTTCAAGAGAGCTTGAGTCTGAGTGGTGTGCTGGGTCCTGCCTGCAGGGACAGCTCTGCACAGGAGCCTCGTGTCCTGTGAGGGCTCCACGGCCAACAACTGACTCCTGTACCTATGAACCCCAATGATCTGAAGTTTCTGGCTCAGGAAATAAGTCTGCTGTTGCCAGTGTTAAAGGTCTGATTTTTGCTAATAAATGCCCCAAACTAGTCTTGAGTACCTTGATTTTCAATATGTTTTTGGAGGGAAAAAAACCAACGCAAAACATAAGTGATGAGGCCTGGGTCTCTAGGTAATCAAAAGTCAATTAAAAGGAGAAAACCTG